CAACGTAGTGGTCCGAACGAATGCCTAATTCTGGTGTTTAAATGGCAACTTCGCAGGACTGCCAACTTCTGAAACAGTTTTTATAAGCGCACGATATGGTGATGAGGGCCTCCTCGCGCCACTGCGTGACGAGATCAGACGAACATCACACTTAGAGGTGGTTCATGAGCACGTTTGCACTAACCTGACAAGATTTGTTTCTGACGAAAATAAAGAAAAAACGACTGATCCAATTCTTAACGATATGTAACATTCCATTTCATTCATAATTTCACTTCATTCCGTTTCTACTAGACATTAAGATTTAACAATTTCTAATTAATGCAATTATGTAGTCATGATATAAAAACCATTTTATGCATTGCTTGTGAGCATACATTAATTCTGAAAGATTTTTGAAGAAAGGTTTTTGCTATTGTACGCATTACTGTATCTCCTTTTAATGTCAGCCGTGTGTTCTCGTTGAATGGTTTCAATGCTCACGAGAATTGCTTCGATGGAGCTAAGCAAACTCTTTCCCAACTGCAACTGACGCCCGGGGCGGCCGCCTGAACGCCCCGGCCACCCGAGGCCGGGCAACGGCAGTCGGGAGCTGAGAGCTTGTCTCAGCCTGAGCGGTGCCCCGCTGGTGGGAGATACGTGGTTAGGGAAAACCCGCTAACCGACGGTAGGTTGGAGGCGGATCTCGCTATACAGCGGGGAAAATATCACCGCCACCACCCTAGCAAAAACATTCATTGCACTTACGGGACTAATGACCCTGGTAGTTGTGCCCGGAATCACTAAATATGATGATGGCGACTAAAAATGAATCAAAAATTAAAAACTGTTGTACATTTTTTTATGAAAAGTTCCAAATATGACGAGGTTTTTCTCTTCTTTAATATTCTTAAAGTAATAAATGGATTCTACTTTTAGAAAACTGAAAAATTGTGAATTTTTAAAAAAAAATGTGCATTGGGTGGCGATAGATGACAGTTGGCAAGAGTATGTGGCAAGTCTCAATAGCTAGGCGAGACCAAAGGAAATAGAAAACTAATACCGGAACGTCTGTATCCTCTAACACGTGGTGTAGCCAAAATTCTTGTTTTGTCGGTCCTTGATACTGAATAACTAAAGGACGGAAAAACGTATGTCTGTTCGTCGCTTTGTGGACACCACTAGCGCCTGAACCATACGTAGTTTTTTTTTCAAAATGTATATTCCCCGGTCAATCTGGCTTCACTCGAAGCTTTGCAATTTTGAAACACGTACGTGAAATCGTGAAGTTTTGGGGGTACTTTGTAAGAAGTCCCACGGACATTTTTAAATTTTTTTCAAAAACGGTTCCATATTTTTTCTTTAAATTTCTTGTAAGAATAGAGTAAAATACACTTCTAAAGGTGACATAGGTCCCAGTTTTCCTGTTTACTCTGGATTTTCGATAATTAGAAAAGTTTAAACTATTTGACCGCGATCTTGACATGCCTGTTTAATGCCGTCCAGCTTTCCAGGTAATGGTTTTTACGTCTGTCATGCAAACAAACCCGCATTAAGAATGCGTGTTATCATTCACCATATTGTGGAATTTAGGCAAATCTTATACTAGAATGGATTTTTAGGTAAGATTCGTTCGTCCAATTTTCTCAGAAATTTTTACTAATTTTGGGTACAAATAAATAAAAGCAAGGTCAAAGGTCAAACATTTATCAATAGGTATCATGCTTCTAGCTTCTTATATGTCATATAGAACAAGTCAAAAAAATTCTAGACCATATTGGAAGAGGCCATGTTTTTATTCGACAACCTATTTCTGGCAATTCAGGGAAAACATCACACTTTTTACATAATATGTACTCTTTGATTTGACAGTTCAACTTCACGGTAACTCGAACTGTTTGTTATTCCCGAGGCTCAACCAGTAGTGCCACAACTAATGAGCGTCATTTCCATACTAATAGAATTTGCATTAGTAATTTAGTTAGTAATATTCGTAGAAATAAAACTTTTTTTAGCAATCGGTAATAGAATTTGGTCAGATCCTCGGTTTTCTCGGGCAAGCTATTTTTATTCGTGAACTCACAAAGAGCGAAAAACATATAAAACTGTGCTGCTATCTTCAAATTTTGTGATAACTTCCGTGGTGTTCGAGTGTAATACAAAACTATGACGTTTATATTGGAAATGTTTCATAGGTTGTTTATCAAAATATCATGAAAGGCAAAAAATACTTGTCGCTGTTTAGCTCCTCGATAATAAGCATTTTTTCTTATATAAATGAAATTAATGGTTTTTGTAAAACTATTTGGAAAACACATTATAAGAGACAGAATCGCATAGAGCATAACATGCCCGCCCGTCATGTTGCCGCAGGATTTCTATACACATCTGTTTGTTCATTATTACAAACATTTTGGAGCATTTCATCGTGCTTCTTCCACCATTCTCATGGTGTAGTTAAAAGGTTTCTCATACCTACATGTTAACGATTTTCCTGGGAAGATTCCAAGAAGAAATTTTAGCACTTAACTGAAAATTTCGTTTATACTTTGGATTTTCAGAATACTTTAATAAGAGTTAAGGAGCACAAATGTTTTGTTGAAACGAGTAGTAATGTTTTGATTATATTTTGCTTTGGTTAGTAACTTCCTACATTAATTGAAATAAAATAAATAATATCTGATTATTTGAGTCAGTATAAATATTTTCTAATCCCTTTATGTTAAATTTATCTGAGATCATTAAACTTTGTTATTTGTGAAAAGCAAGTGAAATAACTGCATCACTGGACAGTAATTCATTACAATTTTATTCCCAATCAGTGCACGCAACCCGATCTTCAACACAAAGGTACAATTTGTATTTGCCAGCCAACTCCCAGTCTAATAAAACTGGTGTGCCAACAAAGTTCGGGAGAGATAACCAATTACACAAGTGAAAGCACGAAAACAATTTAAGCGAACAGTGTGATCGCCGAATCAGTAAGGGCGAGCCGTTCTGCTCCCACGCCTTGTTTCCTCCTCGCTAGGGGCAGAGCTACCCTTCCATCCTCCCTCTGCGTTCACTGGCGCGTCGTCTTCGGGTCCCAGCCGCTGACGCTCTTCTTGGCAGGGGAGGAACTGTTGTGCCGCCTGTCTGGCGGTTTCTTCGGGTAGGGCAGTACGATCTTTAAGTTTTCATAACCTCTAATATAGCATAAGAAAACTAGACATTCATGTATAAAAGCATTGAAAAGCAAGTGTGATATAATACAAGTGACAGTAGAAGAGAGGCGATCAAACTTCACTGTCCTAGAATATAAATGCCCTGCAAGATAGACTGTTCGGGAAATTAGTATTCTGCGTTTCATAATTGGCACTCGGTGGCTCATTTTCCACGGCCCAATCCCAGGTTCGATTCCACGTCGGGGCAAAAATTAGTTGTGCGCTTTCCTTGCAATGTCCCTGTATCTGTTGCTGTGTGACGATGAGAAAGCTCACTTCTCAGTTTGAGAAGACCATAAATGAAGCGTAGGGAGGGCTTTATGATAACCACACTTACCCCTTAACCCATGGTTGCAAGGCCGGGACGTTGCTGGCAGGACTGAGCTCGTAAAGAGGTGTTGTGCCAAAGTACAAATATACGTGTTTCAGAACTGGACAATAAACCTTGTTTCCATTGTCGTGTAGCGACGGGGCATTTGTGATGCAACTAAGGTAGCATTATTTTATTGTGAATATTATTTAATTACTTATTCATTTAGCTCTTGGGGGGCTCAATGACAACATATATACATTGTGCAATCCCGGGTTCCATTCCTAGTCGCGGCAAAAATAGTTAAAGTTTCCTTGAAAATATTCTCAGTTCCCAGGCGTGGGGGGCACAGCCGGCCTGTAAAGTTAGAAAATCGACTCGGAAATGCCAAATACATCATCATCATCATCATCATCATCATCATCCTAAAGGTCAAAATGTGCCTTGTCGCTGCCCTCATTACATTCTTTTCTCCGCTCTCCTTTTCATCACTGCAAATTTTTTGATTTGTAATTCTGTTTGAAGTTGTTCTAAAATTTTCATTCTTGCTGTCCCTCTTCCTCTTTTTCAACTATTTTACAGTCCTAAATTGTGTTGAAGAACTCGTTATGTCTAAAAACATGTCCAAAGAATTTTGCTTACCTGTTTCAAATGGTTTTTAGTAGGGATCTCTTCTCTTTCACTTAAAAAATAATTAAATTATTTGAATTTTTTCAGTCCAGTTGAAAACCTTCAGTATATTAATTTAGCCAAATACATACATACACTTATGCATTTGGATGTTTCAATAGCCATATTAAAACGTGGGATTTACGACGCGAGAAAGGTGTCGCAAATCCCACGTTGCACGTAAAACAACTCAAGGTATTTATTTATAGGCTTTCTACAACTCGCAAGGTCTATTTGTTGGCTTGGGCACAATGTCAAGCAAATTGTGGGAAATTCTATCCCAAACGTGGAAGACTGAGGAGAAAACTGGAAAGTTCAGATACGTTTTGTAGTTAAAACAATTCTTTAGCTGTTCTTCAGGAAAATAAAAATATCAGAAATAGACCATTTATTTAAAAATTTGAAACATTTAGAGCAGTATAATTTTACATTTTGCTAGGTAAACTATAATATTGCAGTGCATAGTTTTGGAACAGAAAGGCTTAAGCTTACTTTTTCAGATGATGATTAATGTGTTTAAACTTTATTTAAGTGACTTAATTCAAAAATAATTAGAATATAATAACAAAATTCATCATTTGATATTTTAGGAAATTTTACATTTTAAAGTAGAAAAATAAGTGTTAAAATATCTTTTTATGAAAAACTCACGTAAGGTTTGGGGAAATTTTAAGTGGCTTATTTGAATAAAAAATTAGAACATAACAACAAAAGTCACTATTTGACATTTACTGAAATTTAGTTTTTAAAATTGAAAAATAAGTTTCGAAAAATGCGTTTTTGAGGAATATTCTCGCGCCGTTTGGGGAAGTTTGTCTGGTGACGTGTGGCAACCCTACTCAGAGAGCGAGGCCGGTGTTGTCTGCGATCCAGCTGGCGAAGGAGGATACGCGCACGAAGCCGTTGGGGTTGCCGCTCTGGCAACCGTCGGACGACACGAAGCTGGTGACGCCGATCTGCAGGCCGCTCCCAAGGTCTACGAGAGGCCCGCCGCTGTCACCCTGTGCGCAGCAATAGGCAAATACATCACCAAGGGTTTGGAATAGTGGAATTTCTTTTCTCTACGTGCATTGGAAATAAACGTTTCAAGAGCGATAAGACAATGTTATTTTGCGTCAGTGTACATGTGAAGATTTTTAGTGAAGGCTTTCGATTTGAATTCTTACTTTTTCATACGAAAAGGATTTCAATTAATAATAATAATAATAATAATAATAATAATAATAATGATAATAATAATGATAATGATAATGATAATAATAATGATAATGATAATGATAATAATAATGATAATAATAATGATAATGATATTAATATATATTAATAGACAAACTTGCTGGCGATTGACTCGTATCATTTGCGGATAAATTATTCATCTGCAAAGTACTCTGTTGTTTGGGAAAATTGCAACACACAGAAGGAATGATCTGAATCACTTAAAATCGGTGGATGTGTGGAACAGCACAAGGTTAAATTTGCTTTGAGATGGCACGCACGTTGGCCTAGCAGCACTCTCATTTGTGTGACATATCTGTCGGTGTTACGCCATACTCAGTCGGTGTAGAGCAGGCAAACGACGTGGAAACGTGTAAGCAAGTGGCGGGAAGCCTCGGCGACGTCAAAGGGCCAAACTAAAAGAAATCAGCTTCTGGATGAGTTCAAACGGGGCAGAATGATCGGTCTTCAGGAAGCGGATTGTGGCTTGAAGTGCTCACGGCAATGACAGTGATGTGTGCGCGTGTGTAACCAATGGATAGAGGAGGGTCGTACTCAGCGACGAGTGAGAATGGACCACACAATATGACCTCAGCGCGAGATGACCGCCATCTTGTCCTCATGGCCGTAATCGACAGAACGGTATCGTCCGCAGTGTTGGCTCGACTTTGGAGCACCGCAACGGGTGTGGTCATGCGTCAATGGTTCCACACTGTCTGCTCAGGGCTGGGCGGGTGGCACGCATACCACTGCATCGGATTCCATTGACCAGAAACCATCAACGCCCATCACCAATAAACCATTAGACAGCAATGGGCACTTGAACGTGTTGACTAGTGTACCGAGTGGCAAAATGTAGTGTTTTCTAGCGATTACCGATTAGATTTGTCCTAAATCGATCTCCATGTACGTGTTGGATGCTACATTGGTGATCGCTATGTGCTAGCCTGTATTGTTCCACGCCACAGCGGACAAACGTCAAGTGTGATAGTTTGGGATACCATTGGCTACAATGTGCGATCTCGCCTCATACGTATTGAGGGCAATCTGAACAGCAACCGCTACATCAGAGAGGTTTTAGAGTCGAACGTGCTACCCCTCCTGCAAGCAGCTCCACATGCCATATTTCAGCAGGGCAATGCCCAACGTGTGGCGAGGAATGTGCAAGCTTCCTGCAAAGAACGACTGGTTTTACTGCTTCCCTGGCCTGCACGTTCTCCTGACATGTCTCTCATCGAACATGATTGGATATGATCAGTGGGCAACTCGTTCGTTCTGGTTCTTCTACAGCCTCTGTCAATTCTTCGTTGTCGCGCATTGAAAATGCGTGTCAGACAGTTCCCCAGCAACATATCCAGTCTCACTTTGAATCCATGCCACGACGTCTAGAGGCTCTGATGATATAGCGTTATGGCTTCACAGCGTACTAAATACGTATGGTCAACATGCAGGTACAGTTCTGTAATTCTAATCATTTGTACATTGTGGTATTCCTAATCTGTATAATAAATTTCATTGTAATAATATGTCTCATTGGTTTCCAATTTTCACAAATTTAGTGTATTTTCTGAAAGCGTATATCTCAGTGTTCACCTTTAAAATTTGATTGCTGAATTTATTGTTTCAATCACATAACTAACCAAATATAATCATTTATTTCAATGTCAATAGGAGTAGTATACCGGCCAAAAGTTTCAAAATAGTAAGCAACTCAACCTTAACAATTTATTGCCACTGTTCATTTTACATTTCTCAATATAATAATATATAAGTGCCTTCCTCATCCTTTAAAGGGGTACAAATTTCTATCGAATTTGTAAGAAAATCAAAAGTATTATATATGAGAAATAGGTTACAAAAGATACTGAAGTAAAAGATTAGAGATGTTATGGAACAGCAAAGTAAAAAGAGTTCACTAAGACAGGCTGTCAACTTTTGAAAACAAAGAAAGCTACTCGGGTACCTCTCCAGTAACATAAGGGTTAAGGTATAAGCAGATTAATGTAATGGTTTAGGTGGGTGACAAAAATGAGAATAAAGGGGGCCAATTGTGAACCATTTATTGAGCTATCTGATTATCAGACCGTGAGATCATAATTAGGTCAAACGTTTACGGATTTTGTGTGTTATTTAAGTTTGAATTGTCAGAATGCACTCTTGCATTTCAGACATGGAAGTTATGTATTCATATAGCAGTCAGTTTGTTACTGAAAGGTTTTCGTTGGGGACTTACGTTGCACACGCCGCGGTCCCCGAGTCCCTGGGTGCAGATGTTGGACGAGCGGATATAGGTGCCGAAGGTCTGTCGACACAAGTCGTTGGAGATAATGGCCAGGTCCACGTAGTTCAGCTGTGGGCTGACAGCGGTGCTCTCTGAAAGAGAAAGTATGTGACTTTATTGCAATTGCCTATAACCGATTGAGTGAACGGTAGGCGCTTATTTTTATGCACAATACTTATGCAATTAGTGTTGCAGCTTCATAATCATTATAAATTGGCTAAGAGTCAGCATCTTAGGGCAATGGTTCAGTATGCCAATTTTGATAGATAGAAGGGAATATTAAAATTTTAGTGCCGAGAAATTTGTTTTCCGCGAGACGTATTTGATTTCGAAACTGTGAAACATAAAAATTTTCTAATAATATATATTAATTCGAAATGTCATTGACGGTATCTTTTATATCACATCACACTGATGCCTGTAAAAATAGTGTGATTCTTGTGTGTCTGAGTTTCTATTTCTGTTTCAGTCAGTTTTTTCTTGCCTCATTGATCAAACGGATCGTGGCAGTGTAACAGAGTAATTGTATTTTATATATAAAATAATGATAATATGTAAATTTAGAAATAAGAAAATAATATATGACTTTGAGAAATTGGACTTGCACTACAAGTAAATTTAAAAAAATGTTTTTACTACTTAACTTCAGATATCTTTCCCCATCCGCTGACACGGGCAGCAGCGTTTTCATATAGATCAGGGCCAGAAGCAAGTGAGATGGTTTGGATCATATCTATAAAGAAACAAGAACATTTTAAAAGAAAATTTCCTCGTAGACTCATATACACGATGGTTCCACCACCAAGGGTTGTTGATTAAACTCATAGAAAGACATGTCTCAGACGTGACAGTGACATGCCATGCCATGGGAACATGGAGTGCTTCATTTCAATAAAGTAACTCCTTATTAATGTTGTATTCTCATGAATTTTTCATGAATAGATATAAGCGTAAATATGATGTAAATATGAATATTTTATTATTTATACTTTGAACTATAAATTGTAGGTGCTTTAGAGTTTATCGTAACGAAATCTATGATTATTGAATAATAACAAAATCATTATCTGATAAAGAGTAAAGGCAAGGGTAAAGAGTAGTTATTTATTATACGAGTGGCAAAAGTGGCATTTTATTCTGCGACTAGAAAACGTAACACAAGGCCGATAGGCCGGGTGGTGTCATTAAATGCAGGGTGTGGGTGGCAAATTAAAATCGCTTTTACCACATGCGTCAAACACTATTATTTAGACAGCGACAATGACAATAATTTTATTTGAATTCAAGTATACAAGTCACTGTTACATGAAGGTCATTAGTAGCTGATACCATCAGACTAAACTATTTAGTTTTATCTGTTGTATTCAGAGCATCGTCTCACTGTCAGCTGTAGTAATAAAAATTGAAATTTTTTCGTGCTTTGCATGCCCTCAAAGTTTTCATCCCCTTTTATGAGAACTGTCTAAGAAGCATTTGCTTACCTCTTATTATTGAGGCGTTGATGATTTTTACCGAAAGTTTTAATTCCATTCAAATTGAGGGGTGAATTGTAGAAGTCCCTCTAAGGATTAATTTAATTATTTAACATCCTAAATTCATCCACCTGTTTAGCTCCCCACATGAGAGTAAGTTATAACATGAGTACGTTTACGTGAATGATGTACTCTTTACAATGTACAAAACAATAAACATCTATAGAGCGGGAAAAATCTAAACTAAAATATTTAAATTGTAATAAGCGACTTATTTTCTTATTTGTCTATTACAATTACGATTTTTATTCATTGGTTGATAATGATTAAAGAAAAGGGGCTGGCACAACAGTTAATTACCTCACGAGTTTATAAATATATTTGAAGCATAATTTTATTTGTTTCCTGGCTCCGTTGTATTAATAAGCTCATTGATATACCAGTATTACACGATGGCTGTGAACATTGACATTATATACAGATGACTAATAAATTGGTGCAATATGTTTGAGGAATAAATCCGTTTTTCAGAATATTAAAAAATGTTTTCATTAAGCTGACTTCTGTGCTCGTGAATCGTATCTGAAAAGGAATCCAGAAAGGGTCAGCCCTCGTAATTCCCCAAGAAGAAATAGAGTGACTTTTTATCGTGTCTCTCTGGACTTTATGAGAAGTATAAATTTAGGCGCATGTATTTACATGATAGTGTACTATGTAAATAGTAACTAGATGTATACTATAAGCAGATAATATGAAGTGAGATAGAGTGCAAACTACTTCTCAGCGGTAGTTAGCATTTTCATTTCCAGAACCTTGTCATTGTGATTCGCTTAAATAAGAGAGTTTTTTTTATTTTCCAAAATCTCTTGCGTGAATAAGTAGTATGCTTTGAATCAGTGAAATGCATACCTTGAAATTCAGTATTAGGAAAAAATACAAATTCAGTGAAGCGGTTTGATTTCCTTCAGCTTTGGTAATTTTTTACTGTAATAGATCCTTAACCCTAAGCAAATATTCCTTTTATGGAGTAAAAGTAATTCATAGTCTGAAAAAGTATTTTGACATAATTCGCGTCACATAGACCATTTCAGAATGGTTCAGCTTGGGGTAAACTTTGCAATTCATCATGAAAAAAATAACAATTAAATGAGAACTACAGCTGAAGATATATTGCCACACTTAATATCAGCACATTTTGAGTACTAGAGAAATAAATGAAGAATTGACTTCATTTATTTTACTTACAAACTTTATTAAACTTATTCTTTTACGAACTTTACATTTTGATTGATGACGTATTTTGCAACAATACGTACTGTTGAGCTGTACATCTTGATTCAAGTTGATTAAAGCAATGTCATTCGCTATGAGAATGACGCTGTAACTAGGGTGCACGATCTTCGAGGTGGTCTCAATGATCACACGTCCTTCTTCATTGGCGTTGTTTAAGTTCTGAGCCCCCAGATAGACGGTGAAGGTACTGATTCTATAAAAGTAAAAAAAAATTGAAGGAATTATTACAACTCGTTAAAACTAATGCGCAAAAATTATTCACTATTCATAAAATTAGCAGTCGTAGAGTATGCTGCACTCTGATAAAAACAATGTGTTGCGTTATTCTTCTAAAACAGAACTTTAATATGTCATGCTTGTCTCCACAAAAGCTCTACCCCGAAATAGTCTCTGCGCCAGATCCATCCAGATCTGCGTAACCGAAGATCGGCAGCCAGGTATCATTCCAGGTAAATATCTCGCTGCTCATCTTTGCCGGGTTGCCTGACGGCCTACCCTGGCCACTTTACTCACGGCCATCAGAAATTTGAAAACTAGAAAAAATGATCTGTATTTAATATGAATTAAACTTTTTAAAATATCAACAGTACCCTTATTATGAAACAGAGGCGATGTGTCCAGTGGACGGCATTAACTTGAAGTATTATTATTATTATTATTATTATTATTATTATTATCTTCCATTATTCACAGTATCTACTGGTCGGTATGGCAACCACACACAGGTATGATGGCCAGGTGTGTGGTTGCTTTACTGAAGGTTCAGATGGCTTCTGACAATACGGCATGTATTCAAAATTACTGTCTTTTGCATATTATATACATTCCTGGTATCCAAGTGAAGACACTCCAGTGCCCGAAGTGTCATTTTCGGGATCACTCCCGTAGCTGATATTATTATAGGCACAGTCGTCACTTTACTGAAGTTCCACTGAGTTGCGACTTCATAGGCGAGATTGGTATACTTCTGGATCTTCTCTTGATATTTTCCCGATATGTTGTGGGTATTGGGTATTAATCCCGATATGTTGTGGGTATTGGGTATTGAAATTATTATTATTATTATTATTATTATTATTATTATTATTATTATTATTATTTTATTATTTACTATTATTATTACTCCTCTAATTCACGAGTAGTTTGCATATAAAATTTATTCCGGCAGCTTGCTATGCAGCAATCGGAGTCATTACAATACTTTGTGCAAAATGTGGGTTCTTCACGTAGGTAATACCGCGAGATATTTAGAAATTGCCGATAAATTCCCGCGAGGGGGTTTATCTGAGAATTTTCAAAGCACGAGAGGTATTTAATATGCCTAGTTCACAACTGATATTATGTTCATCACAATTTCCAAATTCGCCAAATAGTGAAAATAACTGAAAGCATCTTCAAATCCAAGAGGTTATGGTGTAGTTCATACGCTGTTTATCGCACATTAACACAGCGATCTATATATACAGCCTCCTATGTTAGATGAGTCGCTGCTTATTTTTTACCAGTACGGAGGGACAGTAAGAAAAAAGTGATAGAAAACGCGATAACTTTTTTTGAGAGATTCCGCACTCATTGGGGCATTTAATAAGTATAGTTCAACATAATTGGTTTTAATTTCAGGGGTGGAATAATCCTAATAAAGCGAAGCCTTGTACTTCCAAATCTTTTGAATGAACTGAGAGTTATGCCAAGTACTTACACAAATTGTACGGTACAAATCGCAGAGCTTTGATTACTTCGGGACGACCTGTGCTTTTTTGCTCCACATTCTTCTGATCTCAATTTCCAAACTCTTGAACTTAAGTCATTTATCTGTCTTCTTTGTTACGATTTAATCACACTGCATAGCAAAATCTTTAATTATTATAATTAATATTATTACTACTATTATTACTATTATTACTATTATTATTATTACTATTATTACTATTATTATTACTATTATTACTATTATTATTACTATTATTACTACTATTGCTACTATTATTACTATTATTATTACTATTACTCTTATTAATTTAGAAGTCCCTGCGCTTCAACAGCAGACCAATACCTCACCTCAATGTGAGGGACCAGATCACTCAGACGCAAGTGAGTTGCGTACTCACCCGGAGGCGCAGTGGGCGGCGGTGAGCACCCAGCGAGTGGAGATAAGGGAGCCTCCGCAGAAGGAGCGGCCGTTCAGGTACAGAGCGACCTGGTACGGGAACTGGCCGCGGGAGGCCTGGATGCCGCTGATGACACGAGGAACGGGGTACTTGGGAGCGCTTGCTGCAGGAACACGTGGGAAATACAATACATTTTACCAAATACGTTTACTTCTCATACGTACTAATACGTAAATAAATGTGTTAATGGATAGTTATTTAGAGGAAGGGAATTAAATCCAATTTTGATTTTTCCCAAATTTCCCAAACCATAGACATGCCGCTCGTTGTAAGAGGCTGCATTTTTCTTGAAATTTCTACGCGCATGGGAAATTGATAATATACGTATAAATCTCTTTTTAATTTCATTTCCCCAACAGGAAACAAATATTCTTTGATAATGATCTCGCAACCTACCCACGCCCGGATTTAAGTATTGCGGGGCCCCCGTGCAATAAATGATGTATTGTCCTCCCGGTACAAGTAAGCTGCATCTTTGTTAAATAAAAATACTTATCTTAATGCAGGTTCCTTGTGTACAAATACAAATGAAAACTAATAATTTGTATATAAATTTTTTCATTTAATTTATTTTACATTTTATTTCATTAAAAGCTCTTATGCTGCAAAATATGTAATGCATAGTTTTCCGAAGCGCGGGGCCCTTCATGGATTGGGGCCTCTGAGGGCCAACAGCTTGTTTTGCTTGTAAGTAAATCCGGCATTAAACTTGCCGCCGCACTCCTTATCTTCGATGCTTTCCGGCGAATTTCTCCGGAATTGAGACTGTGAATGGGGATCGGTTATCGCTCGGCCTTAAGGTTGGGAAACGGGAAGGATGAGGATGTAAGGATTTATTGGTATTTGTGCCCGTCTGCATTGGGTGCTATTTTAGCTTCAGACAGGAAGTTACCAGGGAAACTACGGAAATAACCAATCAGAGCAGTTGACGTAAGGTCTCCATCTTGCCACAATCTCACTGATGTTCAACACGTTCGGCAAATGTCCATCACTCGCCCATTCCTACGATACCATGCATTAATATAAAAAGAAAATCGAAGAAACAAATCGATTTCAAAATCCCTTTGAGTGACACAATGAAAATTAGTAATGGTGATAATTACTTACACAAGGTAATAAAAATATTATCCACGAGAACAAATGTTATATGGATTTTTGCGTTATATGTATGCGAGAAAGTTAATAGACAAATCAAGATAAAGAATGTGTTAACTCTTCGTATTTTTCCTATTAGTGCACATCAATGAACATAGAAAGGGACGTTTTTATTTTCTCTCATACTACTAACTGCATAATTCATAGAAGGTATTGCAATGCTGCAGAGGAAAATGGCGATTTTTCGTCAGACAAACATGTATTGTCTGAGTCGCTGATATGGACCGAAAATATGGATAATTCTTTTATCTATTGCAGATGACGTTTTGTAAAACATTGAGAAGTCATTTCGTTTAGTAGGTCCATGGAATCAGGAAATTGGTTTACGGCAAAACGTCCATCTGTTCGTCCGTCCCACTGTACGTTTGTCCGTCTGTCCGGCCGTGCTTTCGTCCGTCCGCGCGTTTGTTCGCGAAGAAAACTAGGTTCGTTACTACCCTGAAGCTGCCTGCGATATGACAGGCGAAACACCGGCCTCTCAGCCAACGACGCGGCTTCACCCGAGAGCCTCCAAGTCATGAACTCGAGCCGCGTGAGTTTACGTGTACAAGAAAACTGGCGGTTAAACCGATGGCAGTACGTTCCTCAAAATTGATATTCCAATCCGAATGGCTATTGTTGATGTTGAATTTGAAACGCGTCTTTTAAATTTCGGGAGTACTTATCCTAAACACCAGATTCATTTTCAACGTTTTCTGAAGAAATGGCTTCAATTTTTTTCTTTTAATTTCCCCGCAATGCGTGGTGATAAAAATTACGTAAATCCGTTTTTTGAGCATCTTACTACAACAATACTAAGATATTTTCGTAATAAATTATTTTATTCAAAAATAAATTTTTATTTAATATCATGTAATTTTTTTCAAAATATGAATAGTTGTCGCCTACATTTGCGTTCAATAAAAGCAACTTTAAAAACAAGATTTTCTCAAAAATAGATTTAAATTTATTTAAAAACCATTTGGAGATGATAAAACTAAATTCACTGAATAATACGACATGAATATTTATTTGATGATCTTTTATTTTTTTAATTACACAATTGTATGTTCAAGTAAATATTATATTACGTAAACTTAGCAAATAATGTAAAAATTACGTTCTGTTATAGCACTGAAAGTTTATGATTATTTTTGTTTGCAGAATAAATTCATCAGTTTCGCAATCAATGATCAATGATCATGCCAAAAATGAAGTTGCGAACGTGGTCTTTGAAATGAATATGTTCGCTAGCGGATTATTGTGTGATGAATGATTGTGTTCACTAGTGAAAATTGTTTTTGATCACTTACTGACTACATCGACGGTTTGCTGCACACTTGCCACGGAACTATGATCTATGCGAGGGGCCCTGAGATCTTGGCTGCGATGGAGTTTGGCCTGCAATGATGAAACATACACGTGCAGATATGGTTTCTTGCATTCTTTACCTACAAATTACACTTGCGGTCTTATTACGACCATGCAAATATTCCTAGCAATGACACAACGAGGTATATGCGTAAATTCCCAGTTTAACTAAAATTGGGATTTGAAATATTTTTTTCTGATATGAAAGTATTCCTTGGCAAGTTCGAAAAGTTCTTTACAAATGTATTTGGCCTGAGTACTGTGTTTACCTGAGTGGAACCATTTGTTTCTCGACCAAAGCCAAAGTATTTTTCTTTCATTGTCTGCTTTGTGAATTGTCTTTATGAACTATTTAATCGTAAAAACACTATTTTATCAACATATTTCTTCACTTTCACTTAAAATATTACTATATTTGAGTTGTATCTCTTTTCCTACTCACACTACGACATTTACATGATAAAATTCACAGTAAAGAGGTTTTGACGAATATTATTGCACAAAATTAACACAATTATTGACAGGAGACTGAATTAAGTGGTAGCTGAAATGCGGTTTACTACAGAAACGTTTGATGCGACGATGTAGTCAAAAAACATTACTTTAAAATCAACAATTACAATATTTCTAATTCTATTGCAATGCTGGGATGTACACGTAAATCTGTTAATTACGTACTTTAACCACGAGCGCTCTAGAAATTATTTACCTGAACGGCCAGGAACAGCACGACAACGTTGAAAATGGTCTTCATGTTGACTGGATCTGAAAAAATCACACTGATCAATCTTTTATATTAATCTTGCTTTTCCGATATGAAGGATTACTTTTGTAGGCAGATGTCATGGCATGATGTATTATAGTTCTTTCAATAGTTCTTGTACACTGAGTCGCCACACATTGAGAACCCAAAGATAACCCACACGTGTTTAATTTTGAAATCTGATGATAAAAATAACTGACCGAAATTGAAAGGTCAATTACTTAGCTTTCTTCTTTTTCACCCAAACATGAAAAAAATACCTTTTTAACTTAAAGCCTTTAAGCCATTACAAACCTTACATTCCAAGGCTTTGTAACTTTTCGCATTACGTTATTCACCCGTGATGGACTATTCATCGCAAAAACACCGCGGAAAAGAGACCATATCATAGGGCTAAGGAAAAAGCCCTGAAGGGAGAAAATCTGCCGCCGGAAGACGAGGACATGCTAATCTTACTCATTGTTTCTATACTATTCATTTCCTGGCCCGGAGGTCACGTATTCTCCATCCAGTCATTGACCTCCTCAACACCTGAAATGAAACAGCGCCTCAGAAGGTCGTCTTTACCCCCACCTCTACGGTTACTTCTCGAGCATCTTCTCCCATTGGCCCATAATGTGCTCATTTAATTATTTAATGGTTTACTTATTTGTTTATAAATTTACGTACTTAATAGCTTATTAATTAATAACGTATTTACTTATAAAATTATTAACATAATTAGTGATTAACGTAATTGTTTTTTTTACTTATTTACTTACTTTCTCTCCGGTCTTAGCTCCACTCATACTACTAACCAGTGCTATTTTCCACTCCCTAATTATTCTAAATAGTCCGATTTTTTTCAGAAAATTTCCTAATTCTTTCTTGAAGCGACACATTATATGTTCTGAGGGAGCGTTTGCTTTCTATCTCGAAAGTAATATTTACCCATTTCCGTCCATTTTCCTCTCCATGTTTTGGTAATACTGCAATTTAAAAAGACGTGGATCCAATATCGTTGTAATTCACAGATATTGTTGCCATTTGAGTAATTCAATTTACGTTGCATCTGACCCCGATCCTAAAATACGCGTAACCTGCTCTGGCATCTCTTTCCAAATACGCGAAAGAAACTTTCACAACCTCTTTAATGTAGAATGGAAAATGTCGAGTGCTTTAGTTCAAATACTTACCAATTTTAAATTGTTCAGTATATCAATGAAAATTGAACAAAAAATCCATAGAGGAACATTTATTCAGAAAATGTATTTAGTTGTTAGAGGCATATTTAGACTTTTAGAATATCTCACATTGTTACTTGGTAAGTGTTATAAATTTATGGAAAATAATATATCGTTAGATTCCCCAATAATTTCACTCTACATCAAGAAACATAGACTGCGTTAGCGTATTTATTTCGAGTATCTTCGAAGAGCAGGCAATTTGCGTCACGATGCTGGAGGAGTTTCGTCTTAATTAGCTGGTTCGGGCAATATATTGCCGAAATAAATCTTCTAAAATCCGCTTCTCTTATCCATTGTTTCTGACGTTTCTCATGAACATTTTGCATTAGACGGTGGAGCAATCCTTCCCAAATCTATCTCTACTGTCATTCTTGTGTCGGACGGTGACTTGACACTTCGCACGTTCACGCATAGTAAAGATACATGAATTGTAACTTTACAACAGCATGTGTGGTTTTCCATTTGATTTCATTTTGTTTTCTTTTAACTTAATTTGAAGGAATCTCTTATAGACATTCTTTTCTTTTCTTTTTTCGATTTCCTACTTCCATATTCTCAGTCCTCTTCTGCTGTGCCTCTTCCTCATTGACCTAAAGCTTCAGATGCAGCATTTGCAACCCAATATTTAAAACTACATCATACTTAATCGACATTTTCGTTTGTTGTTTTCTGTAGAAAATATTATATTAATCTTGTGCAGTACAGGTTTTGAATCCCTTTGTCATTAAGCAAATGTATTTAACAGTTTTAGGGACAGTACCATTAAAACTTTACCCTTTGCTGCTTTTAACTCATTTTTCAGTTAGAGTGGTCAGAACTTATAAAAGCTCTTATATCTGAGACCAACAACACCAGCTTTTAATTTACTAGGAAGGAATCAATAATAGTTCTTGAGCCTCTGGCAGCCCATGTATTTGTAGACGTATTTCTTCCGGAAGAGACTGGGTAATTCTTAAAATATTAAAAGTTGCAAATTATCTTAAGTTCTCTTTTTTTCATTTTATGAGTAGTCGTGTTCTGTCCCGACTATATTACTTCTTGGTTTGCGGCCAACTCTAGCGTTGATGTTGCATCTTAAAACTAGGAATCATTTAGTTACGTTTCACGACGTCAATAACATTCTGTCATTTGTTGTAAACTTTACGAGTTTCCATCGTTCTTCCTTCTTCTGATACATACACTCCAACTATAGTAGGGTATTTGCACTTTATTTTTAATCTTATGGCAAGGCTTCTTCCCCACATAAATATACATTTATGAAAATGACATCTACCACCTGTTACCTCGACAGCGCTTTTCACGCGCAAGCGCTTCTGTTAATCATACGTAACACCACGAGTGCTTTGCAAATAGGACTATTCCTCGATTGAAATTATGTCCGCATCCTAAGGTACATGAATGACAGCTTACGATTGGCCAGTAGGTGAAAGCGGTAAGAAAAATCGGATAGAAAAAGCGATAAACTTTGTACCACCCTGATTGGGGCTTTTTGTATGTATAGTTAAACCCTATTGGTTTTAATTTCACAAGTGGAGTAGTCTTCTTAAAGTTATCTAATTTTAATGGAGGGGTAAATGTATTACTTGAATATGTACAAACTAGTTTGTTATATTCTACGACGAAAATCAAATAAAAATGCGATCGCTCACGGCCCTTTTTACAAACCTCTGCTTAGTTGGGCAATTGAAAGAGCACGTTCCCGGAAGTGATGTCAAATTTTGAAAATTCATTTTGAAATTATGTTTTATTATTAAAATTCGTATAAGTGTGTATAAATTTTGTTTTTTTTTGTAAGAGAGCTCAGGATGCTTCTCGCGACCGAAACGAACAGAAACATCCACCAAACTACTCCGATACTGCCTAGAAGAGGCGAGAATAAACCTACGTGTGCGCAGTAAAACCTCGCTAATCCGAACACCAAAAATCCGAAATTTAGGACAATCCGAACAACATTCGCGTTGGAGGAAAAACAAACAAAATCAATGAAATGCTTATTTATAGGGCAAAGAAAGGATTTTATAATTACTGTAAAACTGAACAACTAAAAATTTAAAAACAAGTTGTCGAATTGAAACGGTTACACCGGTAACTTTGGTGTGTATCGCCTGTTTATGTAGCAATTTTCCCTTAGGCGAACTTGCAAAATCTTCTTTTGCCGTAAGCACCTCAATCTGCTTGATAGTGCGATGTGATGATAAGATAGCTACGCTACGCCATTTCCTCTCATCGCACACTAGTTGCATTGTCTGGTAACCCTATATACGTATTTGTATATGTACGGTACATTTTTTCGGATAATCCGAACATTTCCGAATCTGTAGTTCGGATTACCGGGATTCTACTGTATTTCAGAGGCAGATATGAGTGTGCTCGTCCTCTGAGGCTATGCACGTAGATTAGTGAGAAGGATCGAATAGAATGCGTGTCTGCAGTGATTGGTGATCGGGTTGTGGGTTCGATCCTATCCAAGAGCCACAAATAAGATTGATGTGTGCTCGAACATGAGGTAGCTCGTGACGTCCGCTGAAATTGAATTTGAAATTGTAGCTCAACTAAGCTTCTCGGTGGGCTCCATGGTTTTCCTGTTACCTTTCAGGTGAATGCCGCACTGAACTCGAGACTATGGCTCGAGCACGATCTTACATTCCTTTCCATCCATCTAACAGAATCGAGACTGGGGTGCCACGTTCGGAAGTTTACCCCCTCACAACCGGTTTACTCTGGTGGTGTACAAATTAGTACCCAAAGGTGAGTTGATGACAATGATGATGATAAAATAAGAACCGCAGAGAGGAGGACATACGCGTTGTATTTTTCTCTACACTAAGCTTAAAATATATTAATTACTCTTTGGCCATGCTATTCGAATTTATTAGCTGATTCAGTTGTTCACTAAATTGATAACTCTGGCGAAAAATAGAAATTTTCATAGAAGTGAAAAAAACGAAAATGTGTGGTAATGTAAAACTAATTTTATGAAGACTCAAATGATAATATAATTTTTACATGTTATCTTCTTGAAATTGGTAGTAAAATTTGAACATTTAGGAAATTCATTCTTATCATTGTAGACAATTCATGTTATCCCCAAATAAAATTAACCTATACCTACTTCAATTTAATAGTGTTAATAATGGGTTACTATCAAATTGACTGTTAGTGAGTCTCAAGTACAGTTACTTAAAACTAACATTTAATTATATCTTTACTGTACCGAATATTAGAGTAGATGAAGTATATTCAATGTTAAGAGGAAGTTGCATAATTCTGCAAAAATTGGAAGTTGAGATTTTGACTGGTATACACCTTTTAATAGTTTCTGATCTTTTTTTTTTTTTTACTTCATTTAAAGTTCCATATGAAACCTATAGGACATTTTCAAAACTTTCTGAAAATTACTTCATTCTTTCTTCTCGCGTCATGAAAATGAGTTGGTAGTCCAACTACAAATTTCCACACAATTCAGCTTATGATGGGTAGGGGTCAGTAATCAGAGAGAACAAGATTCCAGAGTCAGGGCATTAGACAATAACAACACAAAAACGAGAAGATGCCAAAGTGAATGGCAATCACATGAAACATAAAAGAATCACATTAAGAAGCAAAAGAGAATTTTTTTATTGAAGCTTTTCAAAGTAGGATGTGTTCGTCAATTGACGCATCAGATCACATTTCTGAGGGTGGCACAGGCCGACATGCGCTGCGAGGAGCAGCGAGCGCTCGCCTAGATGGCGATGCCGGTGTTCTGGGAGATCCAGGCGGCGAAGGACGTGACGCGCACGAAGCCGTTGGGGGAGCCGCTCTGGCAGCCGGCCGACGACACGAAGCTGGCGATGCCGATCTGCTTGCCGCTCTGCAGGTCGATCAGCGGGCCGCCGCTGTCGCCCTGCGCGAACAAAAAACATAACAGCCATTGATTGGTTGATTCATTGTTTAGTGATTTCGGGGACGTCATCAAACAGGTCATTAGTCCCGTAGGTGTAGTGTATGATTTTGCTCGGGAGGTGGCGGTGATCTTTCCCTCCGCTGTGTGGCGAGATCCGGTGCCGACCTGAGGTCGGCTAACGAGGTTTCCCTCAACCAGATATCTCCCATCAGCGGGACACCGCCCCAACAGGGACACGCTCTAAGCTTCCGACCGTTATCCCGGCATGTGTGGTGGTGTACTGCATTTTAGTGTAAGTGTGTATGTGTGAAAGAGGTGAAGATAAGACAATGCGCGGTAGTGGCCTGTTTGGTAGGGTACTGCTCCGACATTCGTCTGGTGTTCATCGGAGAAACTACGGAAAACTACCGATCAGAGCAGCCGGGCGCTAGATTTCTCCTCCAGACAGTGACTGAAATTGACTAAGCTAACAAGCGAATGTTGAATATCCTGCCACCGTCGTGACTCAAACCCAGGACCTCGCGGTTAAAGGAACTGCAGTGACATCAGTTGATGCTCTGAGCCATCCCTCCCTGTACATTACAGCCATGTTTGTCGATAGAAATTCTCAATAGCATTAGTATTTTCTATTAATATCTCCTGTGTCTGACTTTAGCACATAAGGGACAGTAATAGAGAATATTGTTAAGGTTACAAAAAAGTTATTTGCAACGTAGTTGATGTCATATGATTGAAACATAAATCGAGCTACTGGTTAATTAAAGACGTTAGTAGCGGTTACTTATCGCATACGCTAGTGTTTTCGTCGTGTACCTCTTCCGGATGTGTGATTATCTAAAAGTCTTTTAATTGTTTGTTATGTTTTCGAATGTTATGTTTTCTAATTGTTTGTTATGTCATTCGCATCTGCGATAGACATTCTGTCAGGCAATGGGATTGGACCGCGACTCGCTAGCGAATCTGCGTCATGATATGGCACATGATTGATGCTAAACTAGCCGCTAGCCCCATCATTCTCCAAAGGTCGCGTCTAGTTTTAAGAATGCTCTTCTTAACGTTAGCTTAAAGGGACCGAAAGTGGCATTATATGTGTTGTCTAGGCTATCCGGGACGAGTCGCGTCAATGTCATGGTGGCTAACGTTTCGGCCAGCGCATTGTGGCCATCTTCAGAGCGTACTGCTGATATCTCACGCTTGGCACTGAGCGTACTGGAATTATATGTGGTTTCTCTTTGAGACACTAGTAGCGATGACGGTGACTTACGTTGCAGACGCCGCGCTCGCCAACGCCCTGGGTGCAGATGTTGGAGGAGCGGATGAGGAGGGCGCCGAAGGTCTGAGCGCACACGGAGTTGGAAATGATGGTGAGGTCGACGTAGTTCAGCTGCGGGCTGACGGCATTGCTGGCTGAAAAGGCGACATTGACGTAAATTAATGCATGTTGCACTTCTTCTAATTCTTTATTGCTAAGACTCATTTTAACGGAAGAATTTTAGCATTTTCGCACAAACCACAACAAAATACATCTTAAAACTTTAGTACTAAATTGCAGATTCCAAAGTATGATTTTTCGGACGAATCTTTTACAATAAATTTCTTATCGTCATGTTTGTAATATTAGAAAGTTTACAATTATATTTGTACTAGTAATGTTTAAAAACCCCTGTACTATCATCTCTTCCCATAAAAACTTGTACCACCCTTTCATAAAAAAGCATTTGAATTTTTTTCTTAAATTCTGTAATTTTCTGCATTCAATACCAAGAAACGCACGTTCTGTTGAAAATAATTGTGCATTAAAATGTATACTTTAAATTAATTTACCTAATCGAACATAATATATAACAAAATATGTATGTCAAAAATTCTACTGAAATTTAAATTGCAAATTTCTATAAGCCATTCATTTTTTCGTAGTTCACAATTTTCTAAATACTTTTATAAAAACAGAATGTATAATATTGACGTTTATCGATTTTGAATAGCACATTTCCTCTAAGTTAAAACATCTCAAATTATTCTGCGTTCAACGCGCTTGGTGTATAATGGACTTATTGCTTGCTTTAAAGAAGACAGAACTGAACGTTACCATCAGAGGTCTTTCCCCATCCGCTGACGCGAGCGGCAGAGCCTTCGAACAAGTTGGATCCAGAGGCGAGAGAAATGGTCTGGATCAAATCTAAAATCACATGGAAAGAAAGATCAATATTGTAGGTACAGAATAGTGAATGAGGTCAACCGTTTGTGCCAACATGCTGGCCAGCGGCGAGAAAATGAAAAGTGAACTGTCCGTTTTGAAATTCTCTAATTTTAGAAAGTGGAAAAAAGTCTCAAAAGTGTTAAAAAACTATTTATCCTTATACAAGTTATACCTTCCAAATTTTAATTAAGCTTATATTACATAGTTATAGCTTTACTTTATTGTATTTTGTTTGCAATATAATTGTCAAATAGTTTTTGATAATAATTGTATAATAATAATAATAATAATAATAATAATAATATGCGTTTTATTTGAAAAAAATGTAACATCAGGGGTCGCGGGATATTTTAAAATTTTACTTTAAGTGCTGTAAGGGTAGGTAAGGTTGTAGTTGATTGCAAAAGTAAGATTGTAGTTGTTGGAAAATTATTAATTTAATTATAAACAACAAGATAACGTATCAGTAATATTAAGAGATTCCACTGATAAAAAATCCTCTTTTCTATGGCAAAATTATAAATTATTAAGTTGACACACTTCAGATTTTAACGAAGTTTATTTCGTAACCTTTCCCCACCCTAAACTCTCAGCTTACTCTCTCGCGTACAAGAACGGGCACACGTCTAACGTACAGAAATTCAATATATATATTTTCACAATGTCTCCTTCTTTCCTTTTTACTGTTAATATTAAGTATTGTAGCTTTAAGTCGTCAAATTAAATGAAGCTATGTAACAACCGTATGCTAAAAATATAAAGATACAAAACATTTGGAGTCGCTACTTACTGTTGAGCTGCACGTCCTGGTTGAGGTTGACGACAGCGACGTCGTTAGAGATGAGGATGGAGCTGTAGTTGGGGTGCACGATCTTGGAGGTGGTCTCGATGATGACGCGGCCCTCTTCGTTGGCTGCGTTCAGGTTCTGGGCGCCGAGGTACACAGTGAAGGTGCTGATTCTGTTCAGAAAGTGGGCTATTATGGAACCTCTTAGTTTTTTAGATACGGGCGGTGCAAAGTAAACGAGAAGAGTTTCTTATTTCAGCAATTTCTCAAGAGTATACGAAATGTATATCCTGGCTATATAATGATTGAATTACTTACTTATTTCTTTATTGATTTCGCGTATGTCAGCATGCCACATGTACGTCAAAATCAAAAATAGTTTTTTTTCGCGTTTGCTAATAACTGGCTTTTTGGCAGATACATATCGCTATTATTACAAAAAGAGCATATTTCAGTTCTTCACGAATGATAGATTTCTCGTGCTTAGCAGCTTTGCAAGTAGAATACTGCAGCCGTATCTAGTAGTTGCGAAATGTGTCTTTTGTGAAGAACGTTGAGATGCGTACTCACCCGGAGGCGCAGTGGGCGGCGGTGAGCACCCAGCGAGTGGAGATGAGGGAGCCTCCGCAGAAGGAGCGGCCGTTCAGGTACAGAGCGACCTGGTACGGGAACTGGCCGCGGGTGGCCTGGATGCCGCTGATGACACGGGGGGCGGGGTACTTGGGGGCACCCTCTGTAGCGGAGAAAAAAGGAAATTAGTTTTCTACTAGCATACTAGCGTTATAAACACGAGCGTTAAGGGAAGGCAAGGATACAACGACTGCTGAATGATCCCTGCCAATTTCAATTGCCAAATCAATTTCCAACTGCCAAGTCAATTTCCAATCAATGTTTGGCGGCGGCGATGGTGTAATGGTTAGCGTATCGAACTGTTATACCCGAGTAGGCGGGTTCCAACCCGATGGATTTTAAGGGCGAAAATATCCTTCATACGCCTTAGTTTGGAAGGGAAGTAAAGCCGGCTGTCCCATTTTAATAGATTTACTTGCATGTAAAAGATCCTCAAACCTAAATGACGCCTCTGAGCTAAATTTAAATCGTCTGTTTCATCGCCTAAGAAAGCTTCCTTTCTCCGCTAGTTGGTGAAAGGAGCGTAGCGAAATTTGCGTGGTCAGACCGAAGAGCGGCCCTGATGGCCCGAGTGTCGCCACGTAAAATTAGGCATTAACTCAATTCAATTCAATCAATGCAACGAATATTTCCGAAGCAGAATTAATGAAGTCATAGCTTTCCGTGAGATGCCTACAGCTGTGAGGAAATATGCTTGAGACGCCTCAACAATGTGTTGCTATGATGGATATTGATATAAATAAAACTCCAACTTGGAATTTACTAACTTAATACCACGCAAACTTCCTCAGGGGAGTTTTATCTCTATCCAGTATTTAGTACAAACTACAAACTTGGCCAAGCATGATATAGGTAAATACAAATTCGTCCAATTTTTGATAACGATTATGACGAACACGAGTTATGATATATTCAAATATTTTAAATTGATACGTGCTATGCAAATGCAGCTATATCTATGTAATTTCATAGTAATCGCGTATTTGCTATATTTTGTTCGTTACGTAGGATGCCAAAACTGTTCAATCTTCGAAAATTCCCATTCTCTCATAAATTATGAATATAGATTTAAATAAAATTCATTCCGGAATAAACTTCCCTTCTAATTATTTAATTGAATTATCCAATATTAGATCCCTGCTATCCATAAATACGTAATGAATTGTACTCACCCACTTCGTCGACGACCTGCAGCACGCCATGGACGGAGGGGTGGTCGATGTGCGAAGCCGCCTTTTGGTGGTGGCTTCTGTGGTGCTTGGCCTGCGAAACATAGATTCCGGCGTGAAGCAAAGTGGATTGTTTTGTATAAAAAAAATGAATCCCTAGTACATCCCTAAAGGAAGAAGAAGCGTTGGTAGACCCAGGAGAAGATGGTTAGATCAAGGAGGCGCAACGGACCAACCGGTCTAATGCTTGAGGGAGAAGAAGAAGAAGAAGAAGAAAAATAGTTTGTTTTTCTACTTCCATTGCATAAGTCTGTCATTTGATAACGGCAACCACCATGATACTCATTACAATACGTATTTCATTATGATACATGTTCTCGACCAATCACACAGAATTTTTCAAAGTATTGACAATTAATAATTCAGAATTTATCTAGTATATATTTCGTTTGATTGTGTACTTTAAAATTGCATTTAATATTATGCTATGCTTTTCAGCTTTAATTTATTTTATTATTAGTAATTTTTTCGTGGAATATTATTGAAAATAAATTGGTTTGTAATTTGACTCCCACTAGAGCTGTGGTAAACCAAAGCCACCTGCGCCAGGGTTGGAAGGGAGCTGTCCGCAAGGTGGCCTTGGCTGAATCCTGCGTGTTAACTGACACCAAACGATTGAATGTAAAAGTTTAACTTATAAACGTTACCATGAGTGCTAGAAAAGGTACCGCACGAAACTCGATATAATGGATATTAATACACTCGTGTCAAGTTTACGATACTCGCTCGTATCGTAATGTGCATAATACTCATCATTACGTCATCGTTTCATAATGTACTATTTTAACACGCCGTCCGCGAAACACGGTTTCTCGTGCTTGTTTTCGTGAGTGAAACCCGTCTCTTTTCGTTCTATCAGAAACTAATAGTATGCGACACGTTATGAAGCATTCGGATACGTATGCGGCACATTATGAAGCATATGAAACATCGTAAAGCGTATGCGAAAGATGTTACGCGCTCGCGTTGTTAAAAACACGGGTGCGATTCGCCCATACTGTTGTCGATATTTTAACAAAAATCGCATTCGCTTGGGCCACAAACTCGACTTGTTTGCTAATTATCTATTTCGCGCACTTGTTTCGTAAGTTACTGCAGTTATAGTAAGAAAACATCAAGAGCTAAATGCCATCGTTACCGAAGCCAATTGCGGGCGCATTTTTCTCCCCCCTATTTCAGTTGCACAATAATTTAACTACATATTTGACTTGTGGCTCATTTAGTAGTTCTTTAGGACTGTGGGATATAGATGATATTAATTGACATCATTAGACCGACGTCTTTGAGAATTACCGAGTACATGAAGCGATAGTAATAATTAGACGATAAAATGTTTATAACTAAGAGTCCCTAATTTGTGTTTGGTAGTCTGTTGTTGAGTGATTTTAGTTTTTTTACTTTCTTAGTAGAAAAAATATTATATATAACAATGTAACTTACTTCCTTTAGTATAAACAGGAATTCTGATACCCATTTGTTAGTACAGTTATTCTTAAGAGACGATGACCGGTAACAATCCTTAATGGTCGCTAGTCGTGAAATGGATTTTTAGTTTCTATTGTCTGATTAATTTTTAGTACAAAATTGCAAATATACAGTTAAGAGCCCACATTGTAAGCAGGTTTTCCATTTGTCTAAAAGTACTGTGGGCACAGAACCCTTTAGAGTGCATATCCTATTAAAAAATATTAAAGCGTCCGCTAATCAAAGCACCGTTTAACGCCGGGTAGACACGCGTCTCTAAGAGCTGTCGGGGTTTTGTTTTCTAATTGAACGTTAATCTCGTTGACTACACTTGCCGGCTTCCCTTTGATCTTCTGGTGTAATTAGCAAGCCAATGATTGATTTACTTTTGTAGTTAAAGTTCTGTGACAATAAAAAATGTACTTGATGAGATTTACTTTGAGAGAGAAGAGCTGTCTAGAGAATTGGAGCGAAACAATGAGTCAATTTCGTTATAAATACATACGGAGTAATTGTGTTCAAAGGATGACATATCCTAATTATTTGCTTTGCCTTTACATTGATAGAAATTAAAGAAAAACAATGCTTATCCCAAGTAAATATTAAATTGCGTTTGTCGCAATTCATTCAATGTAGAAATATATCCAATAAACACCCTTTGCTATAAAATTTCGAATTTAACATGAGTTTTATGAGTACCCATAATTACCCAGAAAATGTTAGAGATCGCCGATAGGGTTGGAATTGTTTCAAAACACCAATTTATAGAAGAATTGAGCGAATTTGTGAAAGTCCAGAACCTGTAAGCGGTGTAGGATACATTTTATCAAATGGTGGTTATAATATCAAGTGGTTTTTGATAGGTGTGTTCAATAAATGAAAGAAAGGTCAATCTGCCATTAAAATGTACTGACTCAATGAGATTTTCAATTTTTTCAGAAATGGAGTGGATATTTCAAACGCCAATTTAACACCCGCGTACTCCTCGAAGGTACACTGCATCGATCACGAACCACTAGTTAGTGTTGAGAGAGACGAGTTCTTTACCTGGGCGGCCACGCAGAGAAGAGCAATGATGAGAATGGTCTTCATGTTGACGATAGGTGAAGAATCGTCTGAGAGATACCCTTTATATACTTTCAACTCATCAACAATACTCAAAAGTACTCATCTTGGGAAAATCTCATGACATCCCGTGCGTTTGTTCTTGAAGGGTTAACGACGTTGCAACGTCATGCAGATGATAACAGACACGTGAATTGATTATTCGTTGTGATATCAACATCAAACTCACATTAGTTCATTAAAAAATCGTGGGTATTGATCGTTTTTGAAGATATAATTCGATGAGAATGAAGAGGTTTCCAGTCATGCGTCAGTATTGATGTAGGGGAAACTGAGTCTAAAGTGTTGTCACGCATAAGTGGACCCTGTTATACCGAGAACTGTCGAGCTTTTACATTCGCATTCGTTTAACAAAGCTATTATTAAAAGTTGATTTTATGAAGAATCAAGTATGAAATAGACGTTGGAGCTACCTATGTATGACTAAAGTGTATAAAGCACTATGTGTAACCTCTAATAAAGCAATGGAATGGTCTCACGAGCAACGCTTGTGCAATATAGTAGGTACCGAAGAAGCTATGGGCTCACGAGCCAAATCGCCATGAAAGGGAGAGATTGGTAGGTACCATGGTGGCTGCACCTGGAGGCAACAGTATTGGCTGAGGGCCGTGACTTCTGCCCTGTTTCATTACCCGACAGTGCAAAGCTTAAAATGGAGATTTGTTTCGGAAACTTTTGTATCATTGAAAATTATTGTGTAACTATACGGATTTTTATTTCACTTTACTGCCTGGTCAATTCGAGAAAATGCCACCCTCTGAGGTGGTTCAGCAAAACTAATGACACTACAGTCCAGAACATTATTTAATTGGTAAGTTTTGTTATTAAACAAAACAAAATCAAAATAATAATCCTATAAAATATCTAAAGCATTTTTATTGTCTCAGATGAGCTGCTATTACAATTCGTGTCCACTGTTACTTTTGAATTTTGCTTCTTGCAGAGGTGTTTGTAGCATTGTAGAAAACATTGGTTTTAAAAGTGACATTTTGATTTTTAACTTTGCCCGTTCTATAAATTCGTACGGTGGTGCCCTTTTCTCTCAATGTGATTCTTGGGTTTTAGAGTCTTTCCTCAATGATTTATGTTGCACAAATATTTTTTTCTTTAAACCAGCTGCTTTATTGCTACTTAACACCATCGTCTATGTAAATACCTTTATCTACTCATCACATACACATAATATGTATAAACAAAAATATTAATTATATAGAATTGAAGAATTTTATAGGATGAATAGAAAATAATGTAGGAAGATCAAGATGTGTTTTAAATTTTTAAGATATATACATTTGTAATTGGGGAAATAATTTGGCCAAATCATGTAAAGAAATGGGAGGAATTTTGGAACACCTTTGTTTATAGTTACAAAACAGAAGAATATTATGTAAGCATGTATTTATCTCTTTACATTACTGCATAAACGTTGTATTTGATCGGCAAATTGTAAGTAAATTTATTTTAGTGGATGACCTAGTGAATTCCCGAGCCTATATTTGAATAAGTAATCCCGTGCACATAAATATTTCGTCATCGGGAGTCGGTACGTATCACCACACCTATAATTGTTTTTGTGGTCGTGAAAACGCAGGCGTCATATAGAATAGTATGATAATTAAATAAAAGGAAGAAGAGGATTTATAATTTTCATACATATATAGGCCGTGAATAAATTCTTAATAGATTGGCATGACCAGTACGGCGAAGATATTGTTGTTATTATTATTATTATTATTATTATTATTATTATAAATAAACCCGGATAAACCCACTATCAGAATACACACTTAATTCATTTTTTTGTTATAAGTCTCCCTTCGTTAACACAATCTACTTCTTCAATTCACAGTTGGTATTTTTTGTGCAGGAGTGTTCCTACCTCGGCAGTAACTCTTTTATCTTTACTTCGTTCACTATAGGTCAGAATGAAGTTATTTATGACTTAAGTGTCTTTACTTTTCTTCTTTGTTTCTTTTAAATCCTTCTTATTCAAATCCTTCTCTGCAATCCATAATTATTTCCAGACTTCTGCTATTCCAAGATTTAACATCTCACGTCACTATTCCCATTTTCCCTTGTTTCTTTCTTCGTTGAATCCTATTTCTTTCCCGTCATATTGTGTGAAGTTCCGACGCTTTACACGGTTCTCTGAGCAGAGTTTCGTTTTACTCAGGAAGAGAGTTTACCTGACCTGGAACCCTTCTTCTTTTTCCTGGCTTTGGGACGTCAACGGCGGCCTCTGAGGTACTTGATTCCCTCAGCGGCGACCGAAGGCGAAGTTTCTCATTTCTCCTGCATTTTATTTCACCATCTACCGCCACCAAGCTCGTACACATGACACAAATGCAGCAAAAAAAACCTAGGCAAAAAATGCCTCTCCCTGCTTGCTACATCCTTCCTCGTTACATGGTCTGATGGATTCGACGCCTGTTATCCGTCCGACACAGACACCGGTGGACGCGCTGCGAACTGGGCCGATGCGACGTGGCGGGGAGTACAATACGGAGACTCCAAGCCGACATGTGTGTCACGACTGTCGAATTTTATCAAAGGGAAATATATGCAGCATTCACTAGAGGTGTGCAACATTCATTACCAATTATTGTTAGTGACCAATATACTAACTCTTTCTACATTCTATTTATTTATTTATTTTAGATCTTTTTATATTTTAAACAGTCATTTGTTTTTGATTTTTAATGATAACGTAAAAATAAAAATACTTCTAGTAAATCCTCCATTGATCATTTTCACGATATGAAAAGAATAATTTTTTCTTTCTTGTGATTTCTTCAGAACGTGAATTTAGCTATAGAGAACCCCTTTCTATTTACACTCTTTCACTGTATTCAGTAGCGAGCCATAAAATTTTATCAAACATCTCCTCTGTTAGTTTGTTTGTTTTTTTGTATTTTTAACGAGCGAACACGTCTGTGAACGAGCACAATATATCAACCGGAGCGCGTGAACCAAATATAATGCGATGCCTTCACAGCAGTACGTGGCAATATGGCAAGAAAGTTTTACAATCAATGAACTGCTTCTTCCGTCACAAATAAACGAACTATTCAAATAAAAGTAATAACTATTGTTTTCCAGTTTTTCGCATTTTTATCCCAAGCTACTAATATTTCGTGAATAAAAGATGTGTTTCATGTATTTGTACACTTAACAAATAGTTAGCATTAGAACTATTGACAAATAGTTCAATTCTTGTTATGAAACTTTAATACTAATGATTATTTAAAACCGACTCTGAAATCTTAAGACGATAGTATATTGATTTGACGGTAAAGTATGAGTACCTTAAGAAAGTTTAAAAGAAAGGCGAAAATTTAAAGAAATTTATAAAAAAGGGTATTTTGTGACGAGTTTATGTAAAAAAAACTATTGCATGAATGGTTCACAGCTGCCCACATATCACGTTTCGTGTAATTGAAAGAGATAGTGTCATGACATCACTGAGCGATGGCTGCTAGTCTGCCGAAGCGTGTCCGCAGGCTTGCGTCGGCTCCGCAAAAGGTGGTCGACCAGCGAGTGCAAACAGGACTCGGCGCAGCGCAGCGCGGAGTGCGAGGCGCAGCAGGGTGAGCAAGCTGCAGCATCTCTTGCACAGCTTCCTCTATGATTTTGCCCTTGACACGCCACGCCACGCCCCGCCACACC